GCGTCAGGGAGGTTCTATCAGCCTGCGCCATTGTATTGATTATCACCGGCGTTATAGTTATCGGGCCTCATATCGTGGAGGCGGCGGCTTCCTTTCAGAGCTGACACTGAGGGGGCGGAGAGCGCGGACATCAAGCAGGAGGCATATGTTTGACCCCGCAGGACGAGTCAAGGCCAACTCAGAGTCCCCTGTGATGCCATTACCACGGTTACTTACTCAGTCCCACCTACACTCGCCCCCTACATTTAATGTACACCGTAGTGGTGTGGCTGGAAAAACTGCAGTCATTCACACTACTGCAAGGAAAAGTCAAAATGACATTTAAATTAAAGTTCTGGTTTTAACATTCCTCAGCAGTACGACCTCTACAGTAGGAATGATGCAGAGGTCACTCCGGCTAGGCTAACATTGACGCTAGGTTAGTCAGATATGAACAATTGATGTTGTGACTGAAACTTTAATTGGATCTTTTTTTAAAAATATATACAGTATATATATATATAATGTCCAATTGGATTATGATTAAAACATGGCAGTAATAAACTGTTTATGAAAGTGATTATTGATGTTGTCATTTTCTAACAGACCAAATTACAAATGAGGATAATTCTGTTTTCATCCCGGTGGACAATGATGATTGGCACGTGCCACTGGGTCATCACTGTCCTTTTGCTTCTAACGTGTACTTACGCAGAATGCAAATACTTCATTTGTTTACACAATGGCTGCTTCACGTGAACAGCCTCTTTCTTCAGCGGTCACGATTCAGTTACGCTCAGTTTAGTTTAAAAGCTTCCTGCAGGAAGTGATTTGTCATTTCCACCTGACGTGTTCAGACCTAATAATTTGTTCTGCTCTGGTTCGCACACTTCGATGACTAAAGACACATTTTCTTTCAACAGTCAATCGCAAGTCGTGGCTTTTCTCCTGAAAATGATTAGCAAGTGAAAACCCTGGCGTCTGTGAAATGAGCTTTTATTGAAATGTAAGGAAAGGAAAGAAGAAAACAGAGTTTTTTCATCATTGTCGTCGTTGTTGTTGTTATTGTTGTAAAAAAAAAAAAAAACTTATCACGGCTAGGCCATCACCAGCTGCCCCCCTCTTCTCAAAGACACACAATGTAGAATACAATTCAATTTCTGCCTCAGCATCAGCTTCAGCTAACACGCTAAAGCAAATGCCTGTTTTCTGAATAGCCTGGAGAGCAGCGCTTCTCAGCTTATCAACTTTTATTAACCTTAGCGCTGAGGTTTGCTCTTTGATTTAGCTTCCTTGGGAAACACTGAAATTGGATTTTTTTTTTTTTTAGTTCCTTTTTTGTGCTTTAACTCTCACTCCCGCTGTGACACATGCTCACTAGTTTGTACATAGAAAAACCAGGACTATAAATTCTCCAGCTATCTCTGTGTTCTTGGTGTATTTTTTGTTTACCACACATTCATGAATTAAATTTTGTGGGTAATATATCAGTACTCGGTACACATACTGAAAGTACAACAAGGACCTTTCTTTAACCCAAGGAAATGTCTTTGCTTGACATTGTGGTTTCCGTTTCTCTCCGTGAGATTTTATTAGAATTTTATCTGTTTTGGATCTCTGACCTACAACTTCACAATTTTGTAGTGTAGTTTTTGGCAGATCCAGATATAGCTATCTGTGTAGCGTGGAATGACGGAGAGAAAGTGAGCATGTGGAGTAGCTACCACTTTTTCATCGGTGCTTGTTGAGAGCGTGTTAATCCTGTTTCCAAAAATTATTTAAAAATACTACAATCTTAAATCCTTGGCACATAATGGAGTAATTGTATGGAGTAATTTCATCCCCTGCTGCACTTGGTATAATAACTTCTCATTGATCGCAATATTCAGACTCCAGTGCTCAAATCCAAGGAGCCGTTGCTGTGTTAAATACATAACGTTTAAATATAATCTTGTATTTCCAGCTTTTGTTAAACCCCTAATAGTGTATCACAAGGCAGGGTTTACTTAAGTGCACACAAGTGCCCTGCAGCCCCTGTGCTTTTTTGCCCCCTGTCTCAGACAGGCTGGTTTCCAGCCAATGTCATTGTACAAATCACCGGTATTTAAATGTCAAAATCCTAGAAGACTGACTTTGCCCGTCTGAGTTATTAGATGGAGACTGAATATAAATGAAGCTCATTAATACAGAAGAATTCCGAGTTTGTACATCACAGATGACTTCACACTGCTGATCCACGTCCTGTGGCTGATTCTAGCCAACAACAGACATCTTTGACAATTAGTCATTAAACCCAATTCAAATTCCAGTATATATATATATATACTGTTTGTTTATCTACACTTCATAGATAAACAAACAGTTTATCTATGAGCACAGTGACTTGTCAACAAACTGAGTCTCTTCAACCGGTCAGGAATGTACTTAGCTAGTGTGTGTGTGTGTGTGATGCCTCACACTCTCGCTCCATTCCTCAATGCATTAAAGTCCCTGCAGGTGCAGACGCCTCGACTAGCGGCAGACAGCTGATGCCCTCGTCCAACCCTGCTCCCTCTTTACCTTGTTTGACCAAGGAGTAGGAGGAGGAGATCTTACCCGTCCTCGGAAGCAGGCTCTCTCTCCTTTTGAATCATCAAAGATGAGCCTGCAATCCCAGCAGTCTCTGAACAAACACGCTGCTTTCTTTCGCGAGTACGACAGGATTTTGCCCAGATGTCACTCGAAGCACTTGTCATTGTTGCGACAGCTGTAGAAGCACATGGGCCGTCGTTTGGAAAAACCACACCAGAACGGCGCACGTGGAACGCGAACGCTCTGAAACACGAGATTGTTGAATTTTAATGGCGTGAGTTCCTTAAGGAGGAGTGACTTTTATTGCCAATCATTTCACTTTTATTGGCTTGCCTGGGTTATCTCTGTAATTGCTTATTTACCATCAGACTCTATTTATCATACCAATACATTAGGGTGCTGCTGAGCCGCCGCTACCAAATATTTTTGATGTTTGCATTCGTAGCGGCTCATAGAAATTAATAAATTCCTGAAAGGGATTACACTGTACACATGTGGCTCATAGGCGCCGCTTCAATTATCTTTTCTTCCAACACCCACTCACTCTCTCAAGGCTTTTCTCACAAATATTATAGCTGCTAACTAGAGAGGCAGGCGCTCTACCGCTCCGTCCTGATTGCAGCCATCATTCATGTCTGCCTTTAAATGTTCTCAAATGAAATATCACTGTTTTGACAGGACATTTTCGGGGCTGCTCCGGTCCCGGCGAGATGTCTGGTGTTTGCCTGTGATGGAGCGTTCCTGAGGAGAAAAGTCGATATATGGTTGTAAATAAATGAAAACAAATGTGAGACCCGAGCTCCCGGTAGATTGAAGAAGCACGGGGAAGAGGAAAAAGAAAGAGTGCTCACCTTTACTTATCATGAAAGTGTGTCTCGGCTACAGAGGATAATTTACTAGCTTCTCGGCCTGGGTGTGTGTGTGCGTGCGTGTGTGTGTGTGTGTTGATGGAGCCGGGGGTTGATGAATTGACACATTGCTCTTGCTGTGATGTTGATCCAAGGCAGAGATCCAGGAGTCACTCCTCCAGGGACCAGTAACCTTATTCTTCCATGTCATCTCCTCCCCTTCGGCCTGAGCACCAGGTTGTCAACCTCTCCCCAAGGTCACACAAACACTGCCCCCCCCCCCCCCTAATTGGATTATTTAGAACCATAGCATCACCTTATTGCCCCATCTGGGGTCAAAAGTGAATTTAGTGTGTGAGGATGTCTGCCATGATTTGTGGCATCATTTTGAACTGAAGACCAACAGCTTCTGTCAGCAGGTAAAGGATGACACACACCGGCCCACTTCATGTAAATCAACATTTATTCAGCCAACGCTGACCATTGAAATGGTTTTTGTTTTCCAATTCTTATATTTTTGTTATATTTATTATTGCATCTTTCACACCTACTACCATTCACCTACTGTTGTCTGTTTATGTTTTTTCAAAAAACAAAAAAAAAATTTAAATAAATATAAAGCATAATATTTCCATTCATTTTTTGATATTCCTTCCACTTTTTTTGCAAAAAAAAAAAAAAAATCTGAAATGCGAAGGTCTGCAAAACAAAACCTAAAATAGCAAGTGATTCAACATTATAACTTCTCCAGCAGTTACTGCAGGATTAGTCACGCTGACCAGACAGGAGACCGAGACATAGCCACTCTGTTGCCAAATTGGAGCCGCAGAAGTAGAGCAGAGGTCGTTCGAACGCTGCAGAAGCAGCTCCACAGGAATGACGCATGATGTATGACATAAGATCCCATTTGAAAAAAAATCTAGCTGATGATCACATGTGACGCTTTGTTTTCCATGTGTTAGCATCTAGACATTTCATCTGAATTCACCAAGTTAGCTTAATTTAATGTTGAAAACCAAAAATGATGATTCGTTTTTACCAACTTTGTGTCCAGTGACATGCACCTGTTCAGAAACCAAAGGTTTATAGTACAGTACAGTACAGTACAGTACAGTACAGTACAGTACAGTACAGTACAGTACAGTACAGTACAGTACAGTACAGTACAGTACAGTACAGTACAGTACAGTACAGTACAGTACAGTACAGTACAGTACAGTACAGTACAGTACAGTACAGTATAGGATGAAATAGGATGAACTCCTGCAGTGATGGGGATTCCCACATTCCAGCACATGTTGATGGTTTCAGTGCTGGTTTCATGGCTGCAGGCCGACGTGGTGTTATTTAATGCTGCCGTGGTAAGATGAGATGAAGTGGGGCGATAGATTAAATGGGTGGGCTGCGGGCCTGTTCAATCAGGAGTCGGCTGTGCAGCAGTAACTCCGGTTACTTATTGTCAAGCCACACAGCCTCGTATGTGAGGGGCAGACGGAGGCGAGGTGGCTCTACCTCCACCTCTGCTGTGAGGCTCTCTGCTCTGCAGTTTGTGACTCTGTAATTAACTGCTCATTTGTGTGTGTGTTTTTGTCTCTTTTCTAGGAGGCCGCCACGTTTGCCAAAGAGCTGGGCTTTGAGGTGAGTTGACCAGCAATTGCACACTAAACAGATCCTAAAGGTTTATTTTTGCTGATAATGAAGTTCTTTTTGGACAGTGATTGATGTGCTATTATACTCTCCAGGCCTTGCAGCAGTTGCTATGGAAACCTGGCAGTCGTCATGGTTTCTTTGTTCAGCCAGCTCTCTGTTATGACGCACTCTGCTAGGTCTGCACCCAACATCGCCTACAGATGTTATTTATTGAATTTTGAAAAGCCTCTTGGGAAGCCGAGAAGTTGGGCATGGTTTCAAGCCTTTCTCTGCAGGCTCAGGGCTCATCAGGTTGCCTGCTTGAAAAGCTTCCTCATTATCTTCATTTCACCCAGGGATGATACTGTATGTCTTCCCTTTACTACTATAGCATTACGCCACACTGGAACACACCGGAGTCTTTTAATAACCCCACTGCAGCCACCTGTGGTTTTAAATTGTGGAAATGAAAATTACAGTGCTTGTTATCCCATAGAATGTACACTGTGTGTTTTAGATCAGGACAGCCTCTTATGTGGGAAATGAATGTTGCATATTCCACACACTGCTGTTTAAACGGGAACTTTACAGAAAAGCAAATAGCAGGCGTGTGTGTGTGCGTGAGAGATGGTGCATGTGTGGTTTTTTTTTGTGTGTGTGCAATTGTATTTGCTGAAAAGTGTCTCAGGTATTTTAAGTGCCGTCTCTTTTTCAAAGGCAGAGCTGTCTTGAATACGGCTCCAACTCTGCGTGAATAATTGTCATCCAGAATCACCGGCTCTGTGATCAACGTGACTGGAATTTAAAGGAAAAGAAAAAATGTAAAAATGCGATCCTGATGCCAGTGACAGGTTTAAGAGTGAGAAAAGGATGAGGACAGAAAAGAAAGAAGGGCTGAGGTTTAAAACACACACACACACACACACGTACGAGGGCAGTGCAGACACCTCTCTACTACAATTCTTTGACATTTTCCATGTCAACCAGATTTGTCCGGAACACTCTGTAAAATTGCATCGGATGAATGTGATTTCTCAGATAACATCAGTGTGCTGCACTGTACTTTTTGCATTTCTGGACAGCTACAGTTCAAAGAGGTTGTTGTTTTTTTCCACAGCCCTCATCTGTGTGTGTTTTTTCTTCACTCCCTCTTTCACTTGTCACTTCCTGATTTCACCTGCATCCTTCAGACTGACCCACATACTTGAGTTGCACACTGACAAGTCGTCCAAATATGTGCATACACTTACTCTACCACACAGTGGACTCCCATTCCAAATAGGAAAAAAAAAGGTCTGGTGTTGGTAGGTTTGGTAAAATTAGCACACAATTAAAAAATCACATCCAATTTAAGTACAGGTAAAATCACATCAACCTCGTAGATCTTTAACTCTGGCCTTGATTACTCATCCTTGCAGAGGAAATAATGTAATACGTCTTGACTCCCATCCAGAAACCTGTTATCAGATGTGTAAGAAAACATCATCTCCATGACAACTGTTAAAACTCCAAACAACACCCTGATGAAAGCTCTTGACATTTTTCACCAAGGTGATAATTTGTCAACAGTGTTTTATTGATTAAAAAGTATGTGTTTTATAGTTACATTTCACCGTTCGTATTTCACTATTGACATTGTGCGTCATCGTGTAGTGAATTTGCTTGCAAGCTTATTAAAATTATTAGTGTCTTTTTTTATTACAACCTATAATTTGCTTAAATCTCTCACCAAAATCATCATATATTTAACATCATCCATAATTAAACTTTGAGTGAAATATAACAAATGTAAAAATGATCAATATTTAAATACCTACGAAGTGTAATTAAAACTTGATTAAATAAAACGTGTAATCCTCTCTTGGTTAAACCACAGAAATACCATGACTTTGACACTCAAGGCCCCTGAGGTTGATTCAGTTTCACTGACTGTCCTTGTCACTGAGCTGCCTGGCCCTTGTGAATGGCATAACAATTGGATATTGATGCTGTTGTTTCACCGTTTGTCAATATAAGCACTGCATGAAGCACGGTGAATGTTTCTTAACACGCTATTACCGCCACTTAATGAAGAACTAACAAAAATGACATCGCCATGAATAAACGCACAGTACAGAGAAGAAGAGAGAGAAGAAAAAAAACAGCAATCAGCCGATCTGTACACACACACACACACACACACACACACAGCGGCGTGATTGTGATCTGTTTCCTTTAAATGCTCAAAGAAGTATCTGCATCACAGCTCTAATTGAATCTTTCCCTGGCAGCGTTTCTCAAGCAGCCTCCAGTGGAGACAATCAGTTTCTCACTGGCTCCAACACAGAAACACAATTTAACACCCTTGTAAAGTGTTCACATTTCACGGTTTGTTGATTTATGTCTGATCACTCGCCTCGCAATCGTAAATATTGCCATTTGTGTGCGGTGTAAACCAAATTGACCATAGAATGTGTCAATTCATTTCTTTTTCGCTCCTGCTGTATGTTATAGGGGTTTTTTTGGGGTTTTTTTTTTTTTTTTGGGTCACAGGAAGTCATCAGGTTTGTGTTTGTGTCCTTGTAGTCTGGATTCCTGCCTCTCCACCTCTGGCCCTTTGAATCTTTCAGCTCCTAAAACCTCAGTCGAGGCCCTTTTTATGTCAGCGAACATAAAACCAAAGGGTGACAATGTGCCAGAGCCTTGTGTGGTTTTGTATTCAGTGGCAGCAGTGGTGCTTGTGGTTACATGCAGTCACAGTGACAAATTGCCTTTTTATTATTTTTCTTCTATTTTTTTGTCACTCGCTTGCTAACAGCCTGTGTATTAACCTCACCATTAGCACTTACTTAGAGTGTTACACCCATTTTTCCTCGGCCCCGGGTCTCGCTGGACCTCTCAGGGCTGATTAGAGGACATTTGGGAAGCATTTAGAGGTGTAAAACCTCATTGGTTTGAGTGAGCCGGTGTGGCTGCTGCTAGTGGGCTGGAGCCTATCTCGCTGATTACTCCCATAACCACAGTATTTGCTCCTTCTGAAGGTGCTTGACTGTTGGCTTTGATACACATGCTAGAGGCGTCTGCGACCCTTAATGCTAGCTCCTCGGTGTGCCGTATTAGAGAAAAGCCGAGTCCACCCCACTGTGAGGCGGCGATAAAGACATTCCACCTGCTCATAGTACATCATGATGAGTTAATAATAAAGTAGCCCTGACAGGTGTGGGTTTTTTATCCCTCTCATGATCAAAGCCGAGCACTCGGGAGAGTTCTGTCGTCTCCAGGCGAGAATCTCCGTTCTGTGCAGATGCTGAGGAGAAATGGCCTGTTTCAGAAAGGGGATAATACAATGAACGCACAGCACATCCCTTCAGCTCGCCGCAAAGTAGGTTTATCTGACAACAGCCCATCTTCACACGCTTATTTTCATCTCTCTCCCTGGGAAAAAGGACATTCTCATATTTTGCAGCTTCCCCATAACTGCATGGAAGCCTCATTGAGTGCTTCTATTGATCCTCCCTCCAAATGGTTTCTTGTGCCATCTGCTTTCATTATCACTTGATCCATCTGCAGGGATTGGAAAATTGTGACCCTTCTCAGTCGCTGAAGAACCGTGATTGAACCTCTCACACTCAGGTCCTCATGATGTCTTCATTCATGTTAACACGCTCATCACCCAGTTGTTTTGTTTTGTTTTTTTTTAAAACAGACCGATGACATCGCAGAAATTGCGAAGAAGACCCAAAACCTTCCGAAAGAAAATGACAAGAGGCAGAGAGTGGTGGTCTTCACTCAGGGCAAGGACGACACCGTTGCAACTGTTGGTAGGAGACTGTAGTTTCTCTACACTCACAGTGTGTGGTTACTGCTTCTGTCATTGTTCCTCTCCCTCCCCTGCAGGGGGTGCTATAATCACAGTACAAATGCCCGAGTCGGTGAGGTAAAAACAAAAAAAACAAATAACAAAACCAATACGGTTGTTTTATTAAAAACTTGTCCTGTAACTTGGCCCCAAAAAATCCCACTGTAACATTTCATTTTAAGAAAGTTTTCAATAAATAATAAAAAAATCCACTTCTTGAACAACTAGTGATGATACAGCAAGTTAGCTAAATCAAACGCAGAGCTGTGCTTTTCTGTCTAGCCGTACACCTTTCTACTTCAGTATGCCAAAAATATAAATAACATATTTTAAAACAAATCATCAATTTCTTACCACGGTAAAGTAACACTGAAGTTTTCACATTGAAATGTGTTTTTTGGAATTTAATACAATTATATATGTTGTGGTTCTTTTTTGTAACTCTATACATATTCTAGCTTACATTTGTGATTTAACCACCTATACTTTTACCTTCTTTGCTATGGATTTGAAACTCTACATCCTCAAACTGCTGTCAACAGTTGCTGGGTGTTTGACTGCAGAAGGCCTTGCGCTATCAGTCGTTTCTTTGAAGTAAACTTCCAATATTGACACCAGATGTTTAGAGAGAGAGAAAAAAAGAATGCTTGCAGTACATTCTGTCATTTCAAAACATAAAAGAAGTGCAGGGCGATGCAGAGAGCCGGCATTGATTTGTGAAGTACTTCTAACTTTGTCTTGGACACACTCCAGGCCAGTCCTCAGCAATTTTTAATGCCTCAGCTCTTATGTTATGCCCCCACCACCCTTTTTTTTTTCTACTTGCAAAATGCTGGCAAAGTAACCTTGGGGAGAGGTTGACAACGCTGCTCTTCAAATCAGTCCAATTTCTTTTGATGTCACACAAATTTGGTGGCGGAACATTAAAAGGAAACGTCGTGGTAAGTGAGCAAGCGCTGCAGGTTTAGGCAGAGCAGGGAGAGATGACAGTTTTTTCCGATTACTGCTGGGAGCGTTTGCCTTTGTCGGGAGCCACGGGGTGTCTCTCCTCATTGCCCTTGCATTTCAGACTACTTGTGCTGGAAAAGAGATGGCCTCAGGTACGGAGTGGAACATATCAGTCATCTCTGGGGACCGTACGAGCACAGTTACGGCGGCTAATGCCAACACTACGGGGCACTGTCCTTACATCTGTGTCCAGTGTTTCACAGTCCCTAAAAATAGTCTTGGTGAGCCAGGGCAACGTCTCAATGAAGGCATTGTTAATCGATCGCAGATTGATTCTGTCATCCTCGTCTTTTCTTATGGGATTATTATGTTGCCTGAAAACCGTGTTGCCGTTTCCCCCTCAAGAGACAAACTGAGATGGAGCAATATTTATATAACCTTCTTCCACTTATGGGAGTATTTAGTATTAGCACTGGATAGAAAATCTTGATAGAATGTAACAGCAGATACTTGTAGTGGTTATTTTACTACTGCAGCAGATAAAATACTACGTATTTCTCTCAAGGGCCCGTGGAATGAACGCTCGGTATACATTTTTAATCATAACTACGGGGGGCGAAGTGGGGTGGTGCCCTTGAAAAATATGTTTCACAAGGGCATCGTTGGATTATTTTAAGGGTAATTTCATCATACACTGATGTTATCTTTTATGCTAACCTTTAAATATGTTCTACACTCCCCTTTGGCTTTTTTTTTTACCACTTAAATTACTTATAAAGTTTGGACTTCTATTTAAATATGTTACCACTTTGACAGACTTTAAATTACTTATAAAGTTTGGACTTCTGTACAACTCTAGCTAACGTAACATTTTCTTTGTGCAGACGTCATTCTAAAAAAACTCTTTTTTTGTTTATGCCCTTTTTATTGGATACTTTATGCTTATATGTAATACCACAACAGTCACGTTTTCTCCACATTTGATATTTGTTTATAGCACAGAAATGTAGCTGAAAATGTTCCCCTTAGATTTTATAAGTCTCAATGACATATGACAAGGATTTTTTTTAAAAAAAAGAAAAATTTGAAGGGAATTATACACTTCTCTTGCTCCAAAGAGGCCAATTATTTATTTATGACAGATTATCAAAATAGCTAATGCTAATGAGACTAATTAAAGTTTCACAACTTAAACAGGAAAAAGAAAAAAATATATATTTCATGAGACTACCAAAAGGAATCCTTAAATCATCCCTCCGTTGTGGTGCAGGTGATTGATAATTCCTGCCTGCCTCCTTCATTGCTCCTGCATGAAGACAGAGCCGTGTGCCGCCGTGAACTTTATATAAAATACATGATGAATGCAGGCGGGATGAAAGACAATGTGTTTTAGATGTCATCTACAAAGGCAAACATGATAAATGTCATTGAGTCTGCCGTCATTACACTGGAGCAGGTTACAGTAGTAGGTGCAGAAGAATTAGTGTGTGTATCCGTGTGCACAAACACCCCAGCGTTCGCACCGGCCAAATAAATGTCAATTTAAAAAGAGAATTAAAGATTTTCATTTCCCAGCGGCGGCGCTCTAATAAACTTGATCTCTCATTTTGTTTGCAATTTGTCCTCCTGTCAGGATTTGATCATTTGCCAGCCTCTGCATGTCATGTTAAAACCATTTTATAGTGATTAAGAATGGGAGAAAGCCATCCCCCGTGGTATGATTCTCTAAAAAGACATGTCAGTTTGTTATTATTCTCCTCTTTTTCTCCCATGCCCTTCATCTGAAGCCTTTTATCATAACAGTGGTTCAAAATGTGGCTTTTAAGTGAGCTGGAAGCAGGGGGGAAATTGCTCTTTATTTAGCAGCCACTGACACTGCTGAACTAGCTGGGCTTTTGCTTATACATCCATTAAAGCGGTAATTAAGATCATTGTGCCCTGAACCTTAACAGTGAGGAGATCTAATGAACAATCATTCAGCGGGGGTTACCGCTGTAATCGCTGATAAGGACTTGGTAAACCCTGACTCTGCTCCTGTGTGAGGTTTAGGGCTCTCTGAGGGACAAGGCAGGCAGGTTCTTTTTCTGCCTTGGAAAAAAAACAGATTAGATCTATACATGTTAGAATAACAACCTGTTAATTAATTGTCCGTGATTGTTTTTTTGTTTTTTTTGTTTTCTTCATCTTATCCATTCATTTACCAGGGGAATACAGGGCTACAGATGAGTTAAAATGTGTAAATTTGGTTTTACTTCCTGACCAAAACAACGTTGTCCTGTTAACATGCCACTGCTGCTCACTCCTAACCTCCTCTTAAACCTGGTGCGTGTTGATGGTGAAGCTGTGTCTCCCTGGTCAGGTCTGCCGTTTACTGTTTGCATCTACGAGCCAACAACAACCTCCGGGTCAGAAGTCTCTGTTGTCAATCCCAGACAAGCAACTGTGCATCGCAGATGAGAGTCTGACAAGCAGGAGCCGTACTTGCTTTTGATGATATTGAGATGTGAAAAGCTCTTTCTCACATGCAGCACTCAGTGGAAGTGTGAGTGACAACACAAGCGCTTTGTGATCGTCGGTGGAGATATTTAGACTGCTTGTCTTTCCTGTACAGCCTGCTTCCTTCAAACGTATCCACTCTCTCTCTCTCTTTGAGTGGAGTCTGTCAACAGACGAACTGGCTCCGTATTTCTGTATTACATTACATAAATGTGTTGTTGCCAAAAA